ATATTTAATGCCTTCTCCAGTTAGAAAAATTTCTCCCGCCTGCTGAAACCTGATTGGTCAATTAAAATTTCAGGCGCGCTAGCCGTATGCAAGGTGTAAGGTACAGGCTTTTTGCGACGCTCTTAACGTGCGTGAATTTTTTTTCCGCAGTGGTTGTGTGTATGATTTTCTTTTAGTACAAGTATGCCTGCAGAATATTTTTTCAAACAGTTACCCCGGCCACCCCTCAAAAGTCAAATGGTCCAGCCCTAAAATCAATAAGGCGCAAACCATTCGTAGACCGCTCTAATGTCAAAACAGTTTTAAAACGACAGAGAGGTACCATTAGGCTGCCGCTGTAATAAGTAAAGAATACAATTTAGAATGAGGGGTTTGCTTGAAGAAACAAGGTGGAGACTTCCATATCAAAAAATTATAAATAACTTCTTGCTGCTACACCGTGCTGACGAGACCCAGCCAGGTCGAAACAGCTGTCCACGGTGTCAATTCTTGGCTTTCACTTTGAACTCTATCTTGTCGTTGTCCCGTTAGGCTTTCTACGTAGTAATCAGCCTTGCTTCATTGTTATGTTAACATATTATACTACAGTCCTCAATGTAAATCAAACGGCCTTTAGTTTGTTCATCCCGCCTAATTAACTTCAAAGGTGGTTTTAAAATAACCTTCATTATAAAGAATTCGATTCAAAGAACTTTTTGTGAACTGCTCAGCTTTAGGGTATGATGAAAAAAAGATAACACTGTGGAGAACTTTTTTTTTTTACTTAACTGAATAGTTCACAAATCTGAAATTTTGTGGAGTTATTTGCCTCGCGGCCCCCCGGGTTATTTCCCATGGCATTTTCAAAATAGTCTTACAGTTGAGACTCGAAACATTAGGTCCCCTCAGGGGATCAAACAAAATTGCTTTTATGTTAATGTTTGACTATTCAGAATTACGAGAGGATATAACGGCAATGCTAGGATGGTAGAGTAATGACATGTGCATATATTTTACACCAAGGTAGTGGTTAGCCTGTGGTTCTACGTTAGTTAAAAATTAAAAACATGGATGCGGTGTTATGAATTAATTTTTAATGATCTTTGTTCAGTACTTGAGCCCCTTGTCTTCAGTTTATTTCAATTCTTAAGTTGTTAGCTTCTCACGGTGTGAAACTAATCCAGTTATTATCAAACACGATCATATTTTACAGATATTGAATTTTTCGCTGACATAAATATTACGAAGGGCTCTAAATAAAAATGTTCCTCGCGTTGTCATTCAGAGTGATCTAGAATTCTGGTCTGCCTTTCATTAGGATAAAGGCGAATTAAAACAATTACAACCATATTTTTTACACGATCTTTGGCGGCATGTAATTAAAAGTAATTTTACCGGAGCCTCGTGTATCAATTTAGTAAAAGAGAAGTAAAGTATTGAGCAATCAGACAGGCTTAATATAACAAACCTGGGGCCCGTTTCTCGAAAGCCCCGGAAACTTTTCGGGCCCGTAAAGCCATAGCAAAATCTCGAACCTTTCGATTACAGAGCTGTTTTATTCACATATTGTTAATATGAAGAGAAGTTCCCTTTATACAAGAAGTTTCAGGCGTATACACTTCTCCGTTTTTAGATACAGATGGACCAAAAATGGTTTTACGGACCCGAAAAGTTTCCGGGGCTTTCGAGAAACGGGCCCCAGACCCGAAGAAAGCTATGAATCACTTTTTATTTTGTTCTAGAGTGTTGTACAATTTTCTTCAATTGAGAAGCCTGATGAATTATTTCTTTCATTTCAACCACAAATTATTTTCCCCTAAAGTTGCCGTAATTTCTTTTTAAAAAAATATTTGTCAGCATTCAGCGATATCTCGACGGAAAACGATCTTCTTGAGAAGTGATTTTCTTTGGAAGTTAACGAAGTAGGACTTGACTTTGGTCCTTAGTTTAATTTAATAAGGTAATATCTGATCTTGTTCTTGCTTGTAGCCTCAAGGTAACTTACCTGTCACAAGGGGGGCGATCAACGAATGTGGTATTGAATAGTTATCATTAATTTGCCGGCGGGGCGGCTGAAGCAGCTTCCTGTGCTATTCGTAGATAATTCTGATAAGATATCTAGACAAGATAGTCTCAGAAAGTCTTCCCGAAAGAATGAAAAGATAAATTCCGCTTACCAAAACATTGTGTCTTATTCGCGCAAGGTACTAAGAAAGAATTTCGTCAGTACGTTTTGTACAAATATTGATAAAGATGATCTACACTAGATAGAGAGAACTGATAGTTTGAAGATTTGTTTACCATGAATTGCTGAAAACTAATGAACAGCCTTCCAAAAATCCTCGTATTTGCCATACGAAGGAAATTGTCAAAGCTGTATAAACCTCATGATCATTGGGATTTAGATCGATCTTGAAGCTCCATCGGATAATTCTTTTGGTTTCACCGGCGATGATTGAAGATAAAATGTTTTGTGCGTACTTTCGTGCTAGGAAAACCAAGATCCGACAGTAGTGAAACTAAACTCTGATCTAAACACTTTGGACTTCAAGAATAGACAAGAAATTAAAATAATCCATAAAACACAGGGTTAACTGTAATATGCGTCTGTAAGTAAAGTTCTGATCGCACTTTTACGCAAAGAATGAGAAGCTAAAGCCCAAATAAGCGAGCGCAAATACACCTCTTTGAAAACAACAAATTTCGCACGCGACGGCCGATAAAAGCGAACAGATGAATAGAAGCACTTACTCACCTTAAGTTTTTAGCAACAATATTCGTCGACGGTTTCTGTTCAGTCTTGAAACATTTACCCACGCTGTATTTTGGTCTCGGGTTTACCACGGTTGATGTATTATTCGTCGGATTTAACCAATCATATCGACATGCCTCTCCATTTTAAACTATTTCACTGATAAAACTAAAATCTTTGCTGCTATCTCCATCTGGTCTGCGCATAATATTCACACAAGAAGAACGAGTTAAGAATCAGTAAAACCACAAATGGATTCATTAAAACAATTTGAAAACATGATGTTATGAAAATCACACTAAAACGCATGCAATTCGTTCAGCGACATTATTAAAAGCCATGACAAAAATTTAAAAATTTTTAAGTCTGCCTGTCTTATGTGTGAATTCTGAATTGTCTGTGTAGACAAAAATTTCACAGCGAAAACCCAGAGTTGTTCTGACTGTTTCAAAGAGTATTTTGAATTCGTAACTGTCTGAAACATTGTATATCGACCAACAAGTGGATTTCCAATGTGGATCTTTCCTAACGAAGCAAAATATCAAAAATCGACGAGGACATCAATAATGGTAATCCATTTCAACATAAAAATAATTAACATAAATTAACATTACACTATTGCATGCTATTGGCAAACTCGCAATCTGATTGGATACACAGAGGCCGCTTAACGACCCATAGACGAGAAAGTGAAACTGAATTTTAACTTCGCGTTTTCGAGACGTTTCTAAACTAAAATATGTTTTGTTCCTCGATAAATCGGTCAGTGGTTTATATTGACTGACAATTAGACGAACTAGCTCGTGATTTTTATTAACTTTGATAGCTACCATCCACCGTTATAGTTCACCTCAAATTTTCCTCTGTCCTCATTGGCCAAGACATAAGCACGAGGTATTGTGTTGGAATGGGCGACCATCAGAAGATGTCGTCCGATCAGCTTCGTTCTAAAACTTTTTAGATGAAAATTAAAAAAATCATTCTCCCATGTTAATTTTCGTTAGACGACAGCACGAAGAACTAGTTTTTCCGGTGAGGTAAAACGGCAACTGGACGCAAACAATGCAAGTTCAGTTCGATATTGTGGAGAGAAAAAGCTGATTGGCGAAGATGAACAGTTGTACTCTTAGTTGCATTGTACTCTTCTGAAATAATTAAGTGGGGATAGGTTTTTATGTATAGCAAGAACATTCCTAAGCCTTATACAATAGATTATACATGCATATAATATGTCTTTCTTGGATATAGTTTCCAGACATTGTAGACATGTAAGTAACTTTGCTTGCGGGAAAACCAAAATTTACAGCTTTTAATTAGATCTGTAACTGAACTAATCATGACCGACAGATTACGATGAACTTATTTCAGTGGATTAGAACTTTAAGCAGTGTTCATAGCCCGGGGTGTACTCCCAGAATAATTTTGTGGGGGTGTGCGGCCCACTTCCCAAAACCCCTACCCTATTTATGACCTGACCAAAGATTCGATATCCTATTCATGACCTCGCAGTTGCTTTAAACATAATTTTTAAACATTTTATCACCTTTTAACATCTTTTCAGAATTGCTTTGAGATAATTATTTCTATCTTAAAGTTTATACTTAATTTAGTTTAAATTATTCTATTTAGTTGTACTTTCAGTGATTGTAAAGCGATATAGAGCTTTGTATATACTCCCTATATAAATGAAGTTATTGCATTATATTGTATTGCAATTTGTGAGGGGCTTTTGTTGATGGTCTTATCGATAATGATGAAAAAGTAGCTTCTTCTAAAAAACACACCCAATTCAAGACTAGAGTGCAAAAAACCATACCCTATTTATGACCAAAGGGAGCAACCCACCGGGTTCATAGCAGGACTTGTGTCAGGTTCGCGTCTCTTCCTTCAGACTTCAAAAACATAAATAGGGAATTTAAGAAAACCACTTCGGCAACAGTAACGGGAACGTCGCTAAACTAAGACACTTTTTAAACTTTTATATATTTCGACTGTTTTAGGCTGTGTTCCATATTCATTTTCGGGATAGTTTTGACAAAGAGAAACAAACTAAATGACTTCAGAGTATCAGGTAAAATATAAAGTCATTTTTCAATCGACGTTCTCCTCCGCGTCGCCCTCGTAGTTACTTAAAAGGGAGCTTAAGAAACGACGACGGCGACGCCTAAGGCTTAAGACCAAGTTGATTTATATTTTACCTTCGAGTCTTGCAAATATTGCTCTTCTTGTGAGGCAAGTTCTATTACCCCCCTCCCCCCCCCCCCCCCCCCCCCCCCCCACGGGCCTATTAATTCGGACATAGAGAATTTCTTTGGGTACGTTGGTTAAATAGGGGCAGTTGTAAATATCAACCCAAATAATGATACGGTCAGTTACTGCTGACGCTACAGAATATTAAGGATCTGTACAGTGTGTAATAATACTAACCAAGAGCAGCTAAGAAAAAAACCTGAAGTTTGAAAATCGGTGTTGTAAACGAATTAAATCAAAGCAAATACTTTTTATCTATTCCCCAAGCTTTGAACCTTCTTTTTTCTGTAGATAGTTGAAATGTATCTATTGTAGGTTTCTACGTTCAGTTTTAGAATCTCTGTACAGCAACGGTCTTGTCGAAGGTTTCGTTCGTTCTTCAAACTTCAGCTTCTCCGTTTTCTCGTTCTTTTGAGCCCGAGGTAACACGCTTGATCAGCGTCAGTGCAGCGGCCGCGTGCATAACGTTGGAGATGGCGTTCAGCCCCAAAAGTATGAACGGTACGGTGATATATCTCTCTTTGTGAGGAATTAGATCCCCGAAGCCGACAGTCGTGAACGTAATCGCGTAGAAATACAGACCATCTCTATAACTCCAGCCCTCAGCTTTCATATGAGCAGCGGCGCCAATCAGGAGCAGGAACAGAAAGTACACAATCGCAAGCAAAAGGCATTTCTCGTTCAAGCAGCTTGGAGCTCCGTTTCTTCCCAGAAAGCGCTTCTCGATGGTTTTGATAAGCGACCTCTCGCCTTGCAGCATCTGCTGGCCAATGACTTTAAACAACAAGATCGTTATCGGGATACCGAAGAAAGCATACACCACGCACAGACTCTTGCCAAGGGAAGTGACCGGGGTGAAATCTCCGTAACCTGGCCAGAGTTTAAAAAAGAGTATATTTCGTATATCGCCTGCTCTTAACAATTGGGTCTCTAAAGCATTTCCTCCTCTACCCAGGGCTAGCCAAATTTACAGAATTTACAGAACTTAAAGAATTTATAGTATGGAAAATTAGAAAAATTAACTGAGCGTCTTCTAGTCAAGCTACATCCCTAAAACTTGGTGAATACAATTCCAATCTTCTACCTAATATTTTAACGTTGCGATTCACAAATTGTGTAAAATTTCTGCAATCGCACCAATTCAAGGCTTAAATGCAGAACACCCGAATACCCGCCATTTGCATCTCATTGAATAAGAATTGCAACTATTGTTATATACCTTGTTCTTCAAAGCACACCTACACGTGTAAATGGCTGGCCGGGTATTCTGCAATTGCTTTTGGAAAAAGTTATTTGTCCTCAGATTCCCAAACGAACACTGTAATTCCTGAGCGCTTTGTCTACCCGTCAAGATGGCGTCGAAAACCAGGGCCTATTCGTGCATTCAAGGCTGTTTTCGCTTCTTACCTATAGTCGTGAGCAAAACCACGACAAACCAAAAGGAATCTCCGTAATTCCATTCATGGCGATAATAGTAATCTTCTCTCTCCGCATGATTTTCTACAGCCTTAAACACGAGCATCCCTATGATAACATAAGCCCACCACAGAAGGAACAGAATAAGAAAAATTACTCCCTTTCCAATCGACGCCATTTTCCTGTTCTGAGAGCTTTCGTGCTGTGAAATGATAATGATAATCGTAAGTGAGAAACATCCGCTGGCGTCATGTGTGTTGATTTGATGATACAAAAATTAGCATTGCTAAAACACAAAACAGCTGCGGGCAAAAGAAGTAAGTAACATCAACGGCAACAAATCACAACTGAGTCAGTCGTGTATTGCTTTCACAAACAGTGCTGCTTTGAAAAAAGAACCGGGAAAATAGCGACTATGTTGAACAAAGCTGTTCTTTGGATATTTTGATGAGCTTTTGAAAGACTTGAAACTTAAAGCAAAATCTCATTAAAGCCTGGTTTTTACCAGCGACGACAGCACAAGCACAAACATAAGCACAAGCGTAAACACAATAATTCTTATTTCACCGTGAAAATGGCCTCGACGCAGGTATAAGCACAAGCGCAAGCACATGCACAAGGATATTTACCACACGTGGTTATGTTTGGCCAATGAAAACACTGGATCCAGATTACCTTGCACCTAAACAGTTTGGATGGTTTGGATCATGGATGATTTTGCTTGTGCTTGTGTTTGCGTCGAATTTCGTTTTCACTTGGGTCATCCCTATCGCTTGCGTTTGTGCTTGTGCTTGTGTATGTATGCGCTTGTGCTTGCGTCGCTAGTGAAAACCAGGCTTGATTTTGTACGGTGCGAATGAAAAATGTCTCCTTCTTTTTGTGATACGTGAAATGTCTATTTATTTTCTGTGAATTGTGAAAGGAGCTTTTTATTTTCCGTGGAAGCGTGATCAATAGATCTTCGTCTGCTTTCGAAGGGGAGGGAATTGTTATACATTCAACCTTCTGTTCAGTGCATAGCTTTATTAAAAAGACAGCCTCTCTTTTCATGATCAAAATCAAACATGTCCGATTCTGTCATCCTCAGGAGTGATGGACATTCTTGGACTTCTCGATCCAAATTGTGATGGTCAGTTACCGAGGATGCTACAGTACATTACGAATATGTACAGTTTCAGGACCTACTTAAGCCAATAGCAATAGAAGAAAAAAAACCCTCAAGTTTGCAAATCAATTTTTGTAAAGTTATATTAATAGAGAAATAACTAATTATCTCTCTCTCTCCCTTTTAACATTTTACTGTAGTTAGTTGAAATGGATCTATTGTAGGCTTCTACGTTCAGTTTTAAGAATCTGTGTACAGCAACGGTCTTGTCGAAAGTTTCCTTCGTTCTTCAAACTTCGGCTTCTTTCTTCGTCAGCTTCTCAGTTTCGTCGTTCACTTGTGAGCCCGCGGTAACACGTTTGATCAGGGCCACAGCAGCAGCCGCGTGTAGAATGTTGGAGATGGCGGTCAGCCCTAAAAGTATGAACGGTACGGTGATGTACTTCGCTTCCTGGGGAAGTAGATCCCCGAAGCCAACCGTGGTGAAGGTAACCACGTAGAAATAAAGGCTATCTCCATAACTCCAGCCTTCAACCTTCATTTGAATAGCGGCGCCGATCAAGAGCAGTAACAGCAAGTACACAAAGCCAAACAGGAAACATTTCTCGTTCAAGCGGCTTGGAGCTCCGTTTCTTCCCAGACAATGCTTCTCGATGGCTGTGATAAGCGACCTCTCGCCTCGCAGCATCTGCTGGCCAATGAATCTAAGCAACAAGATAGTTATCGGGATACCGAAGAAAGCATACACCACGCACAGACCCTTGCCAAGGGAGGTAACAGGGGTGAAATCTCCGTAACCTGGCCAGAGATTAAAATTAAGGAATTAAAAGAAAACAACCCCGCCATTTGAAAAATTCAATTTTTCAAATAATTAAAATTATAAAGTATGGACCCCTGCTCTTAGCAACTGGGTCTCTAATGCATGTAGTAAAGATAAATATTTATTTTTCTTCACTTTTTGAGCGCTTAGAAAGTTTTTTCTCAAAACAAAGAAATCTTTTAGATTTTTTTGTTCTGAAAAGACCACGTGACTTCTTTGTTGGTGGAAAAATTTTCCCGCGAAATTTTGCCAGCGTCAATTTGGAATCTAAACCTCCCAAAAATTAAAACTGAAAGCCCAAAACAATTAAATCTCATTTCCAAATAGATACCTATCGTCAATTGCAACCATGCTTAGGTCTTAAACAGGATCATTTCATAATACTTATAATTGTAATCTTGTGTTGGGTGCATGTTCAATTAGTCAAAACAAAACCGATGCCTAAAGATCTTGTTATCGTGCAGTCAGACATGTTTTCCCTTCTTACCTATGGTTGTGAGCAAAACAAAGACAAACCAGAACGACTCTCCGTAACTCCATCGCTGTTCATCGTAATACTCATCGTGAGTTTCACGAGTTTCACGAATCTTTCCGGCGAGTGTGTTAAATTCTGCTGCCGTCATGTTATGTTTCTGCATTGTTGCAGCCCTCAGCTCTGACATACTCCAGCGCTCTGTCTTCTCTTGATTCTCTCTCTCTTCTTCTCTCTCCACATTACCTTCTGCGGCCCTAAACACGAACATCCCAATGATAACATAAGCGCACCACAGAAGGAACAGAATAAGAAAAATTACCCCCTTCCCAATCGACGCCATTTCCCTGTTTTGAGAGCTTTGGTGTGGTTTAAACGGCAATGATAATCGTAAGTGAAAAACATCCGCCGACGTGATGTATGTTACGATGGTGATACCCTGATCTTACGAAAATTAGCATTGTTAAAACAGCTGCTGGCTGAAGATGTCAATAACATTAGCGAGAGAAAAGCACACTTGAGTTTTGTTTTACTTTACAAACAAAGCTACCTGTTTCTACGCAGTTCCTAGGAAAAGAAATGCTGTCGAAAAAAGAGGCACTGAATCAAACAACGGTCAAAGTGTAATCACAAAACGTATTTGTGTGCTACTTGAAATAGACCTCTTTTATCTTAGCGAACATGACAGCTGGTACGACTAAAGCTTCGACCATTGTTTCATGATTATTTTGATCTGCTATTCAATTTTGTGTTACAGCAAGTATTTAATCTGGAAAATACATCACTCTCGGCTCACCGTTAATCGTTGCGATTTACACGACCACCTCATTCACGCTATACTTGATGCTTGACCAGTATTTCAGTTCCAGATTTTTTTGTCAATCTTCTGCAAAATCGCATCATTTTCCTTTGAACTATCGACATTTTAATCCATCATCGTCTGCTTCCAAAGGAGAGGGGATTAGTTAGTATACATTTAACCTTCTGTAAGTAAATATATTTTATTTAAAATGACACCCTCTCTTTCCATAACAAATCGAGTCAAAGGAAACGTTTCGATTTTCAGTTTGAGGAGACTTAATTCTCAGGAGTGATACACATTTTTAAACTTCTCCTTAAGACATGTTTTCGAACATGATAGAGAAGTTATTTTTCAAAGCAAACCACGCCAACAACGGCAATGAAAACGCCACAAAACAAATAGTATCATGAATTAGCGGAACAATGGCTGACGTAAAATCAGGGACTTGGGCCAAGTTCTGCGTAGTCTGGGAAACGCAGACGACGGCGACTAATTTTTCGTATTTCCATTTAGTATTGATCGCTGTCATTTCTGCATATTTAGCCTAAGGGAGATTTTAGATCCAAGGTGTATTTACATATATAGTACTGAACAGATCTAGATAATTACGAAATTCGTAAGTAAATCTAAATTCATTTTTTACTAAATGTTGTCCTCGGCGTCGCCCTCGACAGTTAAACTGTTATAATATTGGCTGTGGTCGCATCAAAGTTATTATTAGGTTAAGTTGCCTTAGTTACAGATGTTAAACAATAAAAATGCAACCCAGAATGTATTCTATATATTTATCTATTCGTTATTAAATTATTAAGGGAAAACTTGCTTTTGGTTTAGGATAATACAATCGTGAGATATTTCAGGTATTAAACAAAAGGTTGTTTGATTTTCTATTTCGGTACTGATCAAATTACATCTTCTCCTTATATTATGTTATTATGCAGCTGATACCTTAGAAGGAAAACTTGATTCATTCATATTCCGTCGAACACCACCATTTAGGGATTTTCCAGCTGTATTTACCGTTGCCATGGTTGGTTTCTTTTTGGCGTCAATCGAGATAATGAAATGAAATCGAAAGCGCCCTGCCTGGAAATAGTGATTTTGGATTCCATAACTTGTTAGAATTTTGCTGTCTAGTCTTTCAGCCAAACTTTGTTCGTTTAGTCATCCTTTTCGGACATCAAACTATGGTCGTTTGATTAAAATTCATACCTCGTCCACACTTCGAACAAAGGTGGAAAGAAATGTGTACACATCATAAATAACACTTTGGTGTCTCTTTGTATATGTTTAAACTTGAGAACACGTACAAATAATGAATGATATGGAACTAGGCGGGTTCAAAATTTAAGGCCAGCCCACGAAGTTGGGATTGTGCAATCACTTTGTTAGTAACGCTTACGTTGCGGGAAAATTATAGTGAATATTAATCACATTAATATGAATCTAGACATAGAGAACTGTTTGATCTAGTTGGGGCTGGGCAGGGTCAGAGTCTAGACATATTGTGCAACTTTGCAGCATGCAAGTCATAAGATTTGTTGAGTACCAATGAGGTCCCAGTAATTCACTAGGTATTACCTAATCTTCGATATGTATTGTCTAACTATAGTAAGCCGTGTACATTAGAGACGTCGCAGCAAATTAATCAGAGCAATAGCAGTATAGCAATTAAGTTTTGTAGCTTGTAGCTTCCCACCCACCCACTCCAGAGGCAGTTTTGATTCATTGTATGTACCTTGTCGTTAGTATTGTATCTTGTTTCTGATGATTGTTAATTATATAGTATTGTATATAGGATTCTACTTCCGGAATCTAGAACGTAGAGCCGTTACTATATATCTATTGTAGTTTTCCATGATTGTAATAATAGTGTCGTATGTAGGATTACATCTAATAAACTGCCTGATCCCAACATGAGGTTGCCAGTCTTTGTGTTTAGACAACTTTTATTTTTAAAAGTAACGTTATCCTAAACCTATAATCAATTAAAATCAAGACTGTAACTGTTATGTTACTCGCGTTACCTTATTTAGGTCAACCACTTAAGAATAGTGGGTTAAAATCAGAGTAGAAAATGTCTTAGTCATCGAAGGAAAATATGCTAAGTAGCTTTGCGAACTGCGCATGACATTACGTTAGTCTAATAGGCCACTTTCAATATATTAAAATTCAGCTTGATAGTGCGGCCTAGCGGACACAAACAAAAGAAATGAATAAACATGGCCATTCAATGTCCTTTGTTTGTGTCCTCTAAGCCTCGCTGTCAAGCTAAATTTTAATACATCACAACTGAGCTTTTTTCACGAAATAAAAGATGGCAATTCATGACAAAACGAGGTAATATTCTTCATTGTTCCAGTTTCATGTTAGTAACATGGGGTGGCCTCT